TGGTCCCGGGGGGTCTGTCTCGGGGGGGGGGGGGGGTAAAGCGGCCGGGGCGTGAAGTTGACCACTCACCACCAGCTAGTGCCGAGGTCAAGAAAATGTGGATCTATACATCCATTCCTTCGTACGTTTTCGTGCTTAATTCGTTGAGCACAGGGACAATTTTACCTTAGTACTACCATTTCCAAATTCATGTTATTCTACGCTACTGGTATAACCTGCTTAGTTGATTAAACGTTAAATAAATCAGGAAACGAAACAAAATCCTTCCCATCTATGAGATGAAGTAAACAGGTTCCTGCGGAACTTTGGTAACCGCCTATAAAATTATATCGGGTCATATCCCAGAAGTGCCTTGAAAATGTTAAATTTTACCAAAAGTTCTCTCGTATTTATCTACGTCCACTTCGTGTTCTTGTCATCTTCCTACTCCTCAGTCCTCTTCTTCAAGCATTTGTCCTCCTGGCTTTGTTTCCCGTCTATGTCTGTTCCAGCATTTTCTCTGAGGCCCAAACGATCGTTTCCTTTCTTAAAATTAATTACAACATTCATCAATTTTTAGTAAGGAAAGATTAATCTTATGTTAACAGCACAGTCAGTTGTCAATTTTGGTGATGAAATGTGTTTATTGTTACGTGATTAAAAATCCTGTACCCCTGGAAAGGAATCCTAGACAAGCTGCTGACTGTAGCGTACTCTTTTGGATGCTAGGTCAGGAAAGTATCCCTCCTGTTCCCTCCAAAGCCTGTCAGTTGTAGCCCTTCGGTAGTTAATACAGTGTTTTACATTCTCCACGGCTCGGTACCTGCAGAACTGGAAGTCCATATCCTAACTGACGCTCTAGTGACCACGAATTACCTCCTCCGGTAAGGCTCCATTTTGCATTTAGGAAGTGAACGCTTGGTAGCTGTTCAGGCCAGTTCACTCCAGAACAGCTTTATTAAGTTTCTCCATGTATATGCAGAGCAAATCTCTGGAAATTTATCGTAAATTATTACAGTAGTAATCAGGAGAAGCAAACATCTGGGACAATGAGCAACATGACGTAGGAGCAGTAATATGAACGGTCGGATTATTCCAGTTTCACGCCGACCGTCTTCATATATTCTTTCAGTCCCTTTCCTCCTCATCATTTGCTTCTCTTCGTTCTTTTTCTTATTTTCTTTTGCTTTTTCCACCTTCTTTTTACTTCCGCGGTATCATTATTGTACTTCTCCTTCCCACTTCTTCATATCCTAATCTTTATTGCTTGATTATTCTTTTCCTTTCTCTTCTTTGTATTCCTCCTCCTATGTCTTTTGTTCTATTCGCCACGTCTTTTTGTTTATTTTCTTCTTTTCTTTCCTTTCCTTTATTCTCCACTCATTTCCTCCTCATTACTCCTCGTCTTTGTTTCATTTCTTGCCTCAATTTTCATTCATTTGCTTCTTATCGTCTTTAATGCAACCTATCGTCTTTGGGCTTTGCCAAAAGGGTAAAGACCTTTCTCGTGGCTCATAATATGAACTAATCTTTCCTGCACAATACAGTGACTTATTTAGGACAATTTTATCCAGCGTTAAAGATACACCCTTACATACTTTCTAGTTGCCAGGCAACGGAATATATTGCTCCAGATGTCTCTCTCTTTACCCTGCTTTGTTGTGTTTACACTAATTATTATCGTCGTAATCAATGTGATCATAGTGTTTTCGTGTTGTCGTTGTTCTGAATTGCTCACCCATTCGGTCAAGGGCCTCCTCTATTGTAGAGATTCTCTGAATTATAATCAAGCAGTACTCCGTGGCAAGCGGTAGCTCAGTTCGTTTGGACACTATGCTACAAGCCGGAAGGTCGAAGGTTCGAATTCCGATGTGGTCATAGGATTTTTCAATTGACGTAATCCCTCAGCCACACTAAATCCTGGGGTCGACTCAGCCTCTAACAGAAATGAGTACCAGGAATGTTCCTTAGGATAAAGGGCTCACAACCTCACCGCCACCTGTGAGCCGATTGCCTAGAAAATGTTGGGAGTCTCGACGTCTCAACCCTATAGGCCTCCACGGCCTGTTACAGGGATAGTTTTCTTTTAGCAATAGAACTACTTGGATGGCGGATCATCGCAGAGACTCTGCCGTCTGCTGAAGCCACAAAAACAAAACTCGGAAGGCGTCCGTACTCTGAACGGGATTCTAACCATCGCCCCATGGCCTTTGCAAGGCAGGAAGGCGCGTAACTTAAACGACCATGTCCCCGGGATCGGCGACGGCAGTACCATCAGTACGACTACTGCCAAATGACAATGCATATGTTCATTTCGGTTGATCATTCACATAGAATATTGATGATTTATGTTCTTCAACCACTGATGAATATTATTGTTAGATAGCAGTCATTATGCAAAAACATTGCGACAGGTGGCCCCGTTTGTGAAAGAAAGACCGTGATCGTTTGAGATACACGTATCATAAGAGTAACGAGCAAGGATCGCAAGCAGTATACCTGCATGCACCTTTCCTGGTTTTCTCCATAATTTTAAAATTGCATAATAATGACTTAATTGTTCGCTGATGGTCGCAGAACTTGTAACATTGTGTTCAGTGTAGATAACGTTGGTCCTATGCATAATTAAACGCCACACCATTACGATATATGGGTGAGTAGAGGTAGAGCTCCACACATTCTTAACCTCGACAGTAAACAGAGGTGAGTGGTCAGTGTCCCTCTCCGGCCGTTTTAGATACCTCGGCTGCTTCAATTTTTAGGTTAGAGAGCAAGCAATGACGACATTTTATATTAAAATTATTAAGTCATTAGTTATTTTTGTCGGGCTGTGTTCCGTAATGGCGTTTTGGAAAATGTCTTGACGTGAGAACACCAGATGCAAAGCCGTTCGTAATTCCATTTTTTCAGTTCCCACCGTTCTGTAAATTAAAATGCACGCTATAAATTACAAGTTTCTAGTAACTGCCCGTCACCCAAAGTGGCTGGCGATCTCTGTCGCAGCTTCCACAACGTCCGCATTCTGTACAGTTAAGATGACCGGAACTGAACTTTCTCTCGAGCTGTGGAGCGCAAACGGCCTACTTGTGAAGTCGCGGACCTGTTTTCGGCATGGACGAGTACTTTTATTCCTTAGATTTAAGAATCTATAAGAATTGCATGAGGGAACGGTTATAATTTTTTTTTCGAATGAACCAAAACTGAGGACATACTGAAAGTATCCTATTGTATATCGGGGATTGGACGTAGGGTCTTCATATTACGAAATTGGCTGACCATTGGTCTTTCCACAGCGTTCAGTCCTTGAGCACCCTTTATGAATGTATATGCCCCTTCTGCAACCTCAGCCGTTACCATCACCGCTGTTTTGTGTCCATACCGAAAAGTAACAGAAGCCGGGGTAGCGTAACATAGCTACGGGCTGGACGACCGAGGGGTCAGGGTTCAAGTCCAAGTAGAGTCAAGAATTTTCTCTTCTCCACGTCGTCCAGACTGGCTCTGGGGTCCACCCAACCTCCTATCCAAAGGGTACCGGGTGCTCTTTCCCCGGGGGTAAAGCGGCCGGGGTGTGAAACTGATTACTCACCTCCAACTAGTGCCGAGGACAAGAAAATATGGATCTATACATCCACTCCTCCATACGCTTTCATGGTGTAGCACAGGGACAACTTTGCCTTTGTACCTTTTACCGAAGAGTAACACATTGGGAATTCCACGATTCAGATATCGTCCAAGTGACCGAGAGCACTCAGAGCTGTTCATGGTTTCCTTCCGTACCTCCACCGGATACCACGCTTAATACTTCAAAATATACATAGTATTATGGTCACTTATTTCGATATCCTCTTCTTGTACTCATCTCATACAAAGCTACAAAATCTCTCTGGCTGGTATGTCACAGTTAACCTACTTCCGTCAACTCTGATTGGAGGTATCCTGATCACTAACCTGTAGCGGAATATATCAGTCAGCTGAAGTTTCTTCCGAAGTATCCTTTGAGCAAGAGTCGAGCGTGACAAGTACTAGAAGCCACCACCCTCTCTGTAGCCACTGAACCGTCAACTTATCCAGTGAATGGAATTAATTAAGGATACTCTTTGTTGCCGACAGGTGCTCTGGCATCTCGACATCTTCCGTCGCAGTTTCCGAGAGTTGTCTGGACACGCATGTATGGCAGAATCGTGCATCTTCTGCGCTCTCAAGGTAAGGGTATCAACAGTCATAAAACGATACAAATGTCAAATTTATTTGTATATTGTCACGTGTCCGGGGTTCCGTGACGAGAAATGAATGGGTTGCCGATTAGATTAATCTGTTTTATTAAACAACTCGTTTACAAATACAGTCTTGCAGACGATGCCACCTGACTAGCCCATAGTCCCTGATCTAACCACTGATCCGGTCTTCTCAGGTCTCCTCTTCCACTTCTCTCTCTAATCTCAATTCAGGCTTTCTTGGTCTGTTATAACCGAGAGTTGGACGGCCTAGAAGATACCTTGTTCAAGGGTTCCGTTTCACGTGTTCGCTAGTGCATTGGTTGCCGTGGGAACTTCACTAGTCCTGGTTTGTCATTTACGCGGTAACGTCTCTTACGTATGCGTTGTCGCTTCTACCTGTTTCATTGTCACCCCGATAATGCTACGGAGCCGTGGATACCTAGCCCTTGCCTAACAGTGTGTTCCCGCTTTGACTCAGATATCCTGGCTTTTATGCGGCATGCCACAGTATGATATCTCTAAATAATGAACCTTGTATGACATCAAATTGTCTGTAAATGCTTCGCTTGAAGTTATTAGAATGTTCGTTCATGTGCATACTTCAACTGTAAAGCTATTCACTGATATCTAAAACATTTGGTATATCGCCCTTCACTATGTAAATGCCAGTATCGTATGTAAAATACAGGGTTGTTCATAAGTCTGTGAAACATTTTGAAAATTTGCAATACATAAACTACGCAACGGATATCAAGTTTTATTACACTGAAATAGAGATAAACTCACCAAGTTTTTCTTACATAGTTCACAGATGCTCAATGTATCCACCTTTGCTAATACGGCAGACATTTATGCAATAATCCATTTCGTCCCACACCCGTGTCATTACGGTTGATCAGAGCCACAGCAGCGGTGATACGGTTGCGAAGATCCATGAGATTAGCAGGAAATGGACGCTTTAAAAACCTGGAGAGATTAATTCTCAATCGGCATAAGAATTACCATGATCCGATACATAGTTTATTTGTTGTGAATTTTTAAAATGTTTCACGGACTTATGAATAACCCTGTCTATTTATGCAAATCAGTAGCTGTCATTTGAATTTCTCTCCTGCTTGGGGTGTATAAGTAAACACAAGCCTTTACGTACAGAGGCTTATATGTGTCAAAACGAAATCCGCTCAACAACTTTCATTGTAATCGGTGAGTCGCGACTCTAAAGGCGCGTCCACATTACACGTGCTCGTGGTCGCCAGGCTTGTGCTCGGCGGGAGACTTCTCTGGCTTTTACTTGTGCTCGTCCACACTACTTCAGTTGCTCGCCAGGCTTCGGCGCGTGAGGATCCGTATATTTACTCGTAGTGTGTATAGGCTGTACTCGAATTTTAATTTATTGGCCATAGTTTTTAAATTTGCTTGTCTCTTGACTTGTCTTATCATCCATATTACTCGCGAGCATAGCGAGTTACACGAGCACGATAATGTGGACGCGCCTTAAGGGGTTCGCGGTAATGTTTTCGAAAAGGACGTATGTTAGTTCAAGAAGAATTGGCGTATTTTTTTTACCAAAACAGATCACAAGCAGTCGCAAAAAATTGTTCGCTCCAAAAAGTAGAGGTCGCCGGAGAAGAAAGACTGAGAAGCATTGCCCAAGACTGATCGTACCGAATTTCAAGTGGAATTATCGAGTAGCTTTAGAGGTAAAACAGTCGGACAGGATGGAACTAGCTTCCTGGATCTTAAATCCTCTCTTCATGGAAACTAACACCTAAAGGCTCGTATTTTGATCGACAGTAGCTAAAAGTCGAACAAACTTTTATTCCAGTTTTTCAGGATTCCATATTTCTCACCAAAAGTAATACTTTGTAATATATGGACTGTCCGATTACTTCTTCGTTATTATCCGTATTATTATTCAGGACAAGCTGAAAATGAATCTTATAACCTCTAGACGATACTACATCTAGGATAGACAGTTTGTCGCTCCTTCTAATCGATAGGATAAGGTGACCATGATAGTTGCCATTAGTATTAGCCGTGGTGGTTGTCACGACCGTGCTCAGTGTATGCCTGTATACTTGTGGCTTTTCTATCCTTTCAGATCTCTTCAAAAAAGGCCACATTGCTCCCAAAGCCGCGGAATGACGTGTCTGGAAGGAATTGGATGTATAAGAGCCTAAAAAGGTGTTTTTAACGATAAAATTCAATTTTGCCAAACGTCGGGTTGAGCGATTATCGTTCTTACTTCGGGGTTTGATACTGCGACCAGAGACCGCATATTTTGACTTTATATTTTTGTGCTTTTTCTCAGTTCTTCTACGCATATGCTGGGATGATCCTCACTTTCTTAAGACGTCTGTTTTTTTTTCAGACGTGTTTTACATATAAAGGTACTGCTAAAGTTGTCCCTGTGCATAATTAATTAAGCACTATATGATGAGGACATGGTGGAATGGATGCCTAGCTCCGCCACTCTTGGCCTGGCAATACATTGAGGTGACTGGCCAGCTTCACGGCTCGGCCGCTTTACTTCCAAGGAAAGAGCCTCCGGTATCCGTTGAATAGGAGGCTAGGTGGGCCTCAGAGCCTGTCTGAACGCCCTGGAAAAGAGAGAAATTTCTTGCCCCTGCTGGGAGTCAAACCTCGGCCGCTCAACCCGTAGCTCTTCGCTATGCGGACTGAGTTGTTCCTGCTGTACTTTGTTTTACATATAGGCCTGCTCTTTCATTGGGTCACTTTTTTTTACATGCCCTTTAATCAGAATATGCACAATTCAGACATAATTCTGTCACGACAGCACCGTCTTTCTGTACTCAAGGCCTTCGACGAACTGTGTTCCAGCCATATCCCGCCAAAGGTCGGAACCTTGATCTCTGGCGAATGTGGGCGAGTAAATGAACACATACACGTTTTTTATTTTACCCACCGCGTAAAGCGTAAATGTCTGCAGCTCTGGTGAGGTCAGCCGGGGCCCGTTTTGGAAATAGCGATCCCTCGCTTAGTGCATTGAGACTGAATGTCATATCTAAGTAAGGTTTCAAGTTCTCTTCTTACGGCTACGAGCAGGACGGTCCGGCTGCGATGCCCGATATAGATATTAGTGTTTCCTATTTGCCATTATGTCTATAGCGTCTTTGGTTCCCATTCTATTGGCATTTTTGTTGGGGGGCGAACGTGGTCTGCGCGTGGAGCTGACCGCCTAGTTCCGAGGCTAAAAGCTCTAAGAGTCTTAAGTCCGCACCCCGGATATGATTTTATGGTGTGTTAATAGACACAGGGATGATTTCTTCGCTTTCTGTTCGGTCTTGTAGAGGCATTTCTTGTTGAGGCTATAGGCGCGCTGTGCAAATTGACTCCATCTTGTATTGCTGTAGTGTGCTGCAGGCTGCTTAGTATGTACGGAGCGACCCGAGAGGTCTTCGTCCGGCTAGGAGAAGCTTTCCCGCCAGACGTTGCAATAACGTGTCCTATTCAACATGTTCAACTCGATACGAGCTTTGCAGAGTGTGGCGATCTGTCTCTCGTCTCTCTGGGATAGAGACTGTCTTCAGACTTCCAGCTTCAACAGTAAAAATGTGCCACTTTTTCTTAAATTAGGACAGTTGAACCGGTCAAGTGAAATGCAGGACTATCATTACACCTAAGTGACACGTGATTGCTTAGTACGAAAAGCATGAAGGTAAATCTCACGCGTCCTAGACCTTTGTATTATGTGCAGAATAAGTGTCAGCTTTACACTTCAGTAGGTTTGCCCCCTGAGAGAGTGCACTGACTCTCACTGAACAGAGACCGAAACGGCCACAAAGCCGTTCTGGATTAAGTGATGGTGAAGAGAAAACGTCTGTTCCTGCTGGGATTCGAACTTTGGTCATTTAGTCACTTCACTGGCTTCACTATTTTTAAAAGTTTTTTGAAGAAGCTACACTTCACGTCACAAATTCATAAATCATTTATGTTGTGTTGGTTCCATCGTCAACCAATACTCCCTTTCTAGAATTTTTTTAAAAAAGTGGAGGTCATGCATTATGGTTCTACGTAATTTCTAACTGAGTAACATTCTTACATGTCAAGAACTTTATGATAGGCTTTTTCTATCACTAGAGACAAAATAATGGCGATTTTGATGGGTTTGTTATACTGGACATGAAGAAAGGAATGTTAATTGCGTATGTTATGATCGTCAACACAACAGGCTTCTTTTAATAATCTTGTTGTGTCGACGGTCATAATATAAGCAATTAAATATTATATACACACAACAGGATGCAGTCTATAAAGTTTAAATGAATTTCAATATGAGAAGCATTGCGAAGAAAAACCAAATGAAAACCAAACACTACAGGGATCTTTCAAATATGTGTTAATAATGTAGATTGGATTGAATTGGTTCAAGAATAGGTCGAGTGACAGGCTATGTACATCGCGGTATTATTTCGGATTCTAATGCGGAAAAGTCGCCCATCACCAAAATTTCCAATGATTTTACGATCTTCCACAACAATTTTGCCACTTACGAGTAATGGAAGTACACGTGGCTAAATATTAGATAATTTTGCTGATTTATGAAGTGGACATACGTGACCTGTTCCATCTCATTATTAGCAGACTGTCGTTTTCTCTGTCTATCCATATCTCTTGTCCCACGTGGTGTATAGATATAATTTTGGGTAGGTATAATCTTCCATTTCTTGACAGGCTGTTCGTCCATTTATGTCTATGCTGTAGAGTTGCAATGTAGAGAAACTGAAGACTCAGTATTAAAAGTCGAGTTATAAAGTAAGAGTACAGCTTTAGTAATGAAAACGCAAGTGAAACATTTCATTTCTTTTTACGCGATTAGTGTTGATGCAGTTTTTTAAACTCATCATTATTTTATAAAAATCTGAAGGTGCTTGGTTTAAATTGGAGAGGTGGTACACTTATTAGCTGCGTTCCATAGAAGAAACTATAAATGAGATACTGACATCTGTGTTCTTCAAATTACTT